ATTTTTTGAATTGTTTCATTTCAATTTCATTGATTTTTGTCCTGATTTTAATTATTTCCTGACTTCTCCTTTTGGTGTTGGTTTGTTCTTTTTCTAGGGCTTTAAGATGTAATGTCAGGTTGTTTTTGTTGACCTTTTATTCTTTTAATAGTGTATTTTTAGACTCCAGGTGTTGGAGTAGCTTCTACTTTTAACTTTATCATTGATTTCTAATTTCATTCCATCATGGTCAGATAAAATACAGGTTAGTATCGTTATTATTTTGTATTTGCTAAGACTTGCTTTGTGGTATAACATGGTATATTTTGAAGAAGGATCCATGTGCTGCTGAGAAGAAAGTATATTTGCTTGTTGATGGAATATTCTATATATGTCTGTTAAGTCCAAATTATTGATTGTATTATTGAGTTCTATAGGTTTTTTGTTTAGTTTTTGTTTGGAAGATGTATCCAGTGGTGAGAGAGGTGTATTAAAGTCACCCAATATTACTGTGCTGTGGTCTGTTTGGTTCTTGTGTTTGAGAAGGGTTTGTTTGACATACATAGATGCCCCATTGTTTTGGGCATAGATACTTATGATTGTTATGTCTTGTTGATATATGAATCCCTTAAGCAGTATGCAATGTCCTTCTTTATCCATTTTCACTAGTTTGGGTTTGAAGTCCACTTTATTTGATGCTTGTTTACATGGTCCATGTGAGTGGTATGTTTTTCCCACTCTTTCACCTTCAGTCTGTGGATGTATTTTCCTGTGAGATGAGTGTCTTGAAGGCAGCATATTGTTGGGTCTCTTTAAAAATCCAATCTGTCAGTCTATGTCTTTTAATTGATGAGTTTAGGCCATTCACATTCAGGGTTATCATTGAAATATGATTTGTATTCCCAGACATTTTGGTTTATTTTTGTCTTTTAACTTGACTTGGTTTCTACTTTGATTGTCCTTTCCTTTAGTGTAGTTTCTCCCTTTGCTGATTTTCACTGTTTTTCATTTCCTCCTCCTGAAATATTTTGCTGAGGATATTCTCTCAGGCTTTCTCACTGTCAATTCTTTTAACTTTTGTTTATCATGAAAGGTTTTTATTTCACCATCAAATCTGAAGCTTAATTTTGCTGGACATGATTCTTGGTTGGCATCCGTTTTCTTTCAGAGCCTGGTATGTGTTGTGTCAGGATCTACTGGCTTTGAGGGTCCGGGTTGAAAAATCTGCTGAGATATGAATTGATCTCCCCTTATATGTGATCTCATTCTTCTATGGCCTTTAAGATTCTATCGTTTTTCTGTGTGCTAGGCATTTTCATTATAATGTGAATCTGTTGTTAATTTTGTACAGTTGGTGTCCTGTAAGTTCCTTGTATTTGATTTTCCAATTCATTCTTCATGTTTGGAAATTTTCTGATATTATTTCACTGAAGAGATTGTGCATTCCTTTGAATTTGAATCTCTGTGCCTTCCTGTATCCCAGTAAATCTTAGATTTGGTCTTTTGGTGCTATCCCACAATTCTTGGAAGTTCTGTTCATGGTTTCTTACCATCTTCACTGTGTGGTCAACTTTATTTTCAAGATTATATACTTTGTCTTCATTATTTAATGTTCTGTCTTCCAAGTGATCTAGTCTGTTCATGATGCTTTCTGTTGAGTTTTTTATTTGGTTTATTGTTTCCTTCATTTCAAGGATTTCTGATTTTTTTTTTCAGAATCTCTCTTTCTTGAAGTAACCTTTACTACCTGTATTTTTTAGTTGTCAATGGACATTTATTTATTTATTTATATGTTGCTGAGAATCTAATCTAATGCCTCATACACGCCAGGCAAGCACTCTACTACTGACCCACAACCCTAGCCCTGGTGTCTGATTTTTAATGATCATCATACATCATATAGTGTATGCAGTGTAGCATACTGTTGCCTTTTCTTACTTGACTGTAATATTCATTTTGCAATCCAAATTGTAGGGATTTTCATAGAAATCTTCCCTAAACCAATTAGTTGTTTTGTAAATTAAATGGAAAGTGTTATATACTTATATTTTAACAAGATGAGCTTTGTTTGAAGAATTTATGGTTAAAATTGTACTTTGAACATTTTCATTAATTTATTATTATTATTATTATTATTATTGCTCACTACATTGCTGAGGCTGGCCTTAAACTTGAGATCTTTCAGGCCTTAGCTGCCAGAGTGATTGGGATTACAGGCATGAGCCATCATGCCAGAAGACATTTTTTAATCTGTAAAAATGAAAGTTTTTATGTGTCACATAATTTTGCCCCCCCACACACGAAAAAACAAAACAAAACAAAACAAAACCAACCAACTTATAGTAAAGCAACTATTTTAATATCTGGCACCAAATTAACATTTTTTGATGAAAAATATCTTTTTAACGCACTTTGTTAAAATATTAGGAAGACTGTTTAATATGAAATAATCACATTGTTACTCTCCATCTTACTAAAAAGTGTCACTGAGATTCTAGTGCTAACCCCACTTGATGAGATATTTTCTTGTAATATGTTGAACATGAAAGGATGACAATAAGGCCACCCCAACCTGTTAGCACTGTGGAATTTCCACTCTTCCTTTAGGCAATTTCAGTTTCCTCTGTAGCAGTACCATTTTATAATGGACACAGTAAAAATGCTGATTTTATATATATATATATAAAGCTTAATTCCCTTCTCACTGTTTTAATATAAAAATAAAAATAGGTAGAAGCCTGGTGTGGTGGCACATGCGTGTAACCCCAGCAGGTGGAAGGCTGAGGCAGGACTGCAAGTTCAAGGCCAGTCTCAGAAATTTAGCAAGACCCTGTCTTAAAATAAAAAAAACAAAAAATGAATTGGTATGTAGCTCAGTGGTATAGTACCCTGGGGTCTATCCCTAGTATCTGCTCCCCCCACCCCAATATTGGTAAAAATCTTAATTTAGTCTTCCTATACTCCAAAGGATCATTTTGCCTATGTAAACTGGAGATAATTACTTCATAAAAATTTTTAAAAAAGAATAAAAAGGTAAGCCAGGCATAGTGGCATGAACCTGCAATCCCAGATACTTGGAAGGTTGAGGCAAGATAATTGCTTGAAATCAAGAGTTTGAGCCTGATCAACATGGTGAGACCCTCACCCCTTTCTCTTTACAAGAGAGTAAAGAGCCAAAATGTCCAATAATAGGAACTTGTTAAATAAACTATGATGCAATTATATTATGGACTACTATGTGGTCATTAAAATGATAATATAGAAATATGGCATATGGAGTGAAAAAAATACAAAGCCATTGTGTTATGGTCACATTCTTATAAAATATGACATAAAATTCTGAAGAAATAACACCAATGAATAGGATACATGAGATTGTTAGTTTCTTCTTTTGGTTTATTTTTACTTTTTTTTGAGTTTCTACTAATGGGCATTGCTTTCTATGTTCACTATAGCAACTCTAATAAGAAAAGACCATTTACTTGAATGGATTGTGGTTTTGACCTATGGTAGATGGTTATTTCTACTTTGTGTTCTAATCAGCCAGCTTTAGTTCTCTGAACTTTTCTACATCAAAATCTTTGAAAAGCATTCACAAAATCTTTGGAAACAAGTTCAGATTTTCTAATATTTCAGCAAGCACAGTTTTATGGGAAAATACTTAAAATAGTGAACAAAATAAACATTTTAATTTCAAAATTCTTTGGATTTTTTTTTTTTTTGGTACTGGGAATTGAACCCACAGGGCACTTAACTACTAAACCGCATCCGCATCCCCAGCCCTTTTTTAACATTTTAATTTAGAGACAGGTTCTCACTAAATTGCTGAGGTTGGCTTTGAATTTGTATCCTCCTGTCTCAGTCTCCCGAGAAGCTGAGATTACAGGTGCAGGCCACTGAACCCAGCTTTAATTCTTTGGATCTTTAAGGCTCTTAAAAAATAAAATACGGAATTCAGTGAATATACTTGTGATTGAGACTTACTTTTAGAAAGCTATAGGATATTTGGATATGGCCAAATATCATATAGGTTTTACTTTTTTCCCTCTCTAACTGTGAGTTACATACATAGGTTCTAGGCACTGCATGAAACTGCCTCTGGTGCCACTGACACTAAAGGGTGAACATACTCTTCTCCCAATCACAGGCAGAGCTTCCTTAAATGTTCAACTACATACTTCTTGTTGTCTTCATAGCATTGTCCCTCTAGCAATGATCTAGAAAGATCTGTGTCTGCTAATTACTGTAAGCTGCAGTGCTTTTCAAGAACATATTGGTGGAGACCGTCTTGCAGACAGACTGTTCTCAAACAACATGTAGTGCCCAGCTCTGCCTCATGGTCCAAACCAATAACTTCACTGGTAGAAAAGGAACCTGGAAATGTCCTTTTCCAGGAAAACACCAAGTGGAATCCTTTTGGGGGGTGATCTGGAGATCTTAGGGTTTGCTAATACCTGACTTTTCTGCATTACTCTTTCTAGAACCTGTATTTGAGGTAGGTGGGAAGATTTAGGAGGGACCTTTTTACTTCCTGGTTCCAAGCAGAGTATAGAGATTCTAATAAAATTCCAGTTAATCTTGGAAGACACAGATTTTGAGAAACACAAATTCTCAGGAAAGCTGCTTATCCATCCCGAAGGGTAATGCTGGTGTGTGTTTTGGTGGACAGTGTGGGGAAATGTGAGTGGTGAATTTGTGTAATGGGCAGATAGATGCTCTACTATGTTCCCTGTCTCACAGATACTAGAGAAGAACAAGATTTGTATAATTCTTTAAACTTATTAAATATATCTTCTTAGCACCAACTATATATACAGGGCAGGATTGGCTTGTTGGTGCCTACAATTTTTTTTAGAGCAGGATTGGCTTGTTGGTGCCTACAATTTTTTTTAGAGTTAAGACTGATAAGAGTTCATTGGGCAAACCTTATCATACCTTTGTATTTGAATAAGTATAAAGAAATGATTTATTTTGAACAAACCACTATATATTAGTGAGATAAGATACGTTCTATAACTCACCTGGAGAGCAGGTAACTGAATCCTTCAGTTGCTTGGCTTTGGTTGTCACCTGTTTCAAAAATAAGAAAAGCAAAATATCTTACTTTCCATGTGCCTTGTAAGTTGAGTGGCCTATTTCATGTCAAGTTCATGTGAACAGTCAGGGTTCATTGTATCTTAGGCCTAGAAGACACTCAGCCATCAATCAGTCCAATGAATTTATTTAACCAATTGGAGAAACTGAGGCCCAGAGAGATTAAATGGCTTGACCCCAAATATCTATCCATTCAGCAGAAAAATCAGAACAAGAACTCAAATCATCTCACTACCTCTGAGTGACAGTTCCATTACACTAGGCTGCCTCTTAAAACATGCTACTTTTGTTGGGAATAGTGGTGCAAGCTTATAATCCCATCTACTAGGGAGGCTGAGGAAAGAGGACCTTAAGTTTGAGGCCAGCCTTGGCAATTTAGCAAGACCCTGTTTCAAAATTAAAAAAGGACTGAAGATGTGTCTCAGTGGTAGAGTAAATACAAGTGGGTCATTTTCATCTCTTTCTTTCATTCTTCTTCTTTTTTTAGTTAGAGTTCTAGAAATTGAGGAATGTCGTATCAGTGACTACGGTAATCATCATTTATACTAATAATCTCACAATGTAAAATTCTATGTATCCCAGAAAGAAACCCTAAGATACTATAACTTTAACAGTGAATGTTAGAGGAAGAATCTTTCGGTGGTGTGGGGAAGTTGGATCCAAAAATCATGATCCATTTACATCTGAGTGTAGATTCACACAAGTAGTTTTATTTAGTGGTAATTCTTTTCCACTTTATTTTTTAACCAATAGTACCATTTTGTATGTTTCATTCTCTAGTTTGCTTTTTTTATTTGATAATGCCTTGGAGTTCTCTCTCTCTCT